ATTCAATTTCACACAGAGCTGAAGTGATCTGTTGGTTGGTTAGTCAGTTAATAGTAAAGGAATAATTTAGATCTGTACTGTTGAAAGTGTCGGGTTTTGCTTTTAACAATCTGTTCTCGTTTGTTTCTTCAGCACAGTCATTTCTGTGTATGAGTGTGTGAGTTCAGAATGCTTGCTCAGGCAAAATAAGACATTTTAAACATCTTGATTGCGATCTGTAGTATTTCTTGGAAACTTTTACTCATTGTGTGAACTGGTCAGCCCCCCCATTCACCCCCTTCTATAGTAACCCTAAAAAAGGGGATGAATGGGGGGGGGGGCTAATAAACCCTAATAAAGCAGCTGCCCTTATTTTCATGGGAATGAGTTTGGTCAGGACGTCGAAATGAGTTTTTTAGAACTGCAAAGCACAAGTAATACCAAATAAAGTTTAGATTATATCTGAGTGCACTGAGGTTTTATTTCCAAATCCGACCACTAGCAACACGATAAGAACATTCTGTAATGACGTGCCGTCATATCTGGTATGTTCTTAGTGGGACCATAATTTATTTAACACTGAGTGTAATTCAAGACACACTTCCAGGTTATTTTGAGGGTTCCCGTTAAGAGAATGAAGTGGTGCTGCATCAGATCGCCTAGCCTTGAGAATAATCCAACTTATACCAGTTAGAGGCTGGAAAGAACATAAACCATCAAGTGACCAGCTGAACTTCAGGAATTTGAGCATTTCAGGGGATTGCCTGAAACGACATGAATGCGATAGTTATCTTATCGCATTGTTTTTCAAACAATGCCATTTGAAAAAGAAATGCACTCTATTTTTCAATCATGAATAAATGTTATTTACAAGTTAAACAGAGTCATGCTTCCCAGGGGTGGACCCCCCAGCGTCTTCAGCCTAATGCTCATAAATTGCTGTCATATAAAATTTTAGTCTGAGTAACGTCACAGACAAATGAGTCACTAACCACTAAATCAAACATGAATAACTGAACTAATCATGGAAAAAATATCAAATCTCACAATCACAGGAAATTGGCCCTCTGATCTCAGACAGAAGGGGTGTGTCAGTGCTATACCTAGAGTGACAGGTCTCTGATCAGTTGATATCAAACAGACACAGGTCCTGGGCACCTTGCTGTTACTGAGTCAACAATGAAATTCTCTTTACCAAAGGATTCTCGAGTCAAATAAGAGTCCACCTTTCTCTCAGGTGAAGCTCGGATTGATTTGCGTCACTGCTGCATGACGCAAATCAATCCGAGCTAGCCAGTGATGCAACAGCACATCTGCGGTAGAATTGATGCGAAACAAAAAAAGCAATGGTGTTGAAATGACTGAGTCAAATTCCAGTGCTTAGACTGGCTGAAATGCCCAGATAATACATTAATTTCCACAAACCTTAATGAACTGAAGAAACCCTGTACAGAACAGCCAACCAAAATACTCCCATGACGATGAGAGTCTGGTAATTAACAGAGAAAATTATTACCCCAGGTTTTCACTGGTAAACGTGGTCCTTGGTGGTATTTTTAGTATAATAAATGGTGTTAAGGTACTCAATGTGTTGTTGTTTGTCAGTACCTGTTGCGTCCTGCTGTGTTACACCAACAAACAACAGAGAGAGGACAATATTTTCCACATAACTGACCTATCAACATTTGAATTTTCACTGATTCATGGGGCAAAAGGTTTACTAACTACAATGAAAGCTATGGAAAGAGTCTATTGTCTATTTAGAATGTACCCTGCAGGAGGAATCAAAAAGACAATGTTAATTAGAAATTTGTTTTCCCAACTTCCAAATACGCTGAAAGGATTTTAACTTAGTTCTTTAATTTATACAATGTGAAAATGGCAAAATTTTGAAACATGAAAGCTCACTTTATTGTCCATGGCAAATAATTTAGTTGATGGAGCCATGCCTTTTTTCCCCCCCCTTTCCTTTTACTATAAAGCTCGAGATAAATGCTGAGTTGGGTAAACCCGTGCTGTTGATTGGAGCCATGATTTAACCCTCTGCTAATAAGCACCAGGACGAGGAACGCGGTATAAATGTGCCGCAGGAGCCCTTGTTGTCAGCTGGAGCTGAAGGCATGGGTGGCCAGCAGGCGGGATTTGTAACGTGATGAATCCCCGAGGTCTTAGTAATTATGGCTGTCGCTGGACGGAGACGGAGGGGGGGGGGGGGGGGGGGGGGGGGGGGCGCGCGACGGAGGCATTTTATCTTAATCACAGCTCAGCTCCATTCAAATTAATTTGACAAGTTTCCCCAATCCTTATTAAAAGCCACGCCGGGGCATTTGACAGCCCCCCCCTTTCCCCTCTCTAAATGTTTCGTCGTGGAAAAAAAAAAAAAAAAATGTCTTAAAATATTATGAGGCCACTGGGAGCGAGACGCACATATTTCCGGTGGATATTTCTCTCCCAGGGCGCCCCGAACCCATCCATCCATCCCTCCCACCTCTCGAGTGTTTCTATAGTAATTTCCAGCCAATGATCAGTAGGTGTCCACATCCCTGCTTCCTCACCTCAGCACCAATCAGCCACACACAGCGACAGGAGACGCGGACCGAGCAGAGCCCAGGCAAGACGCACAATACAGCCCACGGATCGGGAGGAGAAAAAAAAACAAACCTCAGCACCTTTGCGATTTTTTTCCCCCGCTCTTTTTTTTTCTACGACACCTTTTTTCGGCTTATTAGTGGACTTTTTTACATCCTTTTTCTAACGTGACGGGAAAGTCAGTAAAATGCTCCTTTTGTTTTGAGCGCTCCGAGCTGCACACACACACACACACACACACACACACACGGACGCCTCGCTCTTATCAGCCAGCCTGTTTGTGCGTCTTCCCGCATCTTTGCATTTTTTATTCCCCCCCCCCTTCCCCTCATCCCCAGACGTATCGCCTCGCAGTAATGTGCCGTTTTATGGTGGCAGGCTGGTAGCATCTTGGGAGCTTTTTTCCCCCCAACAAGATCCTGGTAGGTGATGCTCGCTCTGTTTCCTCTCGCTGTGTGTGTGTTTGTCCATCCATATTCGGGCGTCCAGTTGCGTTTTACCCCCCTTTTCTGTCCTGATTTGTGCTGCTGCCAGATTCGTTTTTATTTGGGGGGCTGGGGGGTGGGGGTGGGGGTGGGGGGGGGTTGTTAGGTACACTGTTTAACCGTTTTCCTCTATTTGGATTAACTATGCATGACCTTTGGTCTGAATCTCTACTAATTGTAATTAGCGGAGGCAGGAATTGGACGTCGGTTGTATTTTCCTCTTCTTTTTACATTTACATTTATTTTTTTTTTACTTTTCTTTCTTCAGGCTCCTCTCACTCTCTGTCTTTACGGTCCCCCTTCTTTCCCCTCTCCCTCCTCCCTCAATCTGTCTCCCTCCAGCTCCAAGTATTGAACATTTCTGTCTCTCTAAACTTTGTTTACAGGCTGAAAATCAATGTCCGTGACTTGATTGCCTTTGGGCTGCGTATTTCGCTCCAGGGGTGAATTGATTAAGTAATAATGACCCCAAGGAGGGCTGATCATTAAGCCGAGGAGGTTTTGTTTACGGGTGGCTGCTGGTTGTTTTGGATGCCACATCGACATTGAGCCCTCTGGAAAGGATGGTTGTGAACACTCTGGCTTTCACGTTTGTTCTTAAACAATAATGTTGAAATGTGTGGAGTAACTTCTTGGGAGGAAAAAAAAAGCTAAGTTTAGCCACTTTGAAAATATTGGGAAGGAAACCTATTCTAAAGTTTAAGGTCCACAAAGTGGATATCTGCCTGCTTTGGTATATTTAGGAGTGCACATTGTACGGTGGACATGAATAATGCCACTCCGAAGGATCCCTCCAGTTCAATCTATAATTCACCCTTTCAAAACACGGATGGGATCTGAAATGCTTCAGCGTTGCAGCAGTGGATCAGCTTTGGCAATTAAGCGAGAAAGCCCAGAAAAAAGGTAATGGAAGTAGGGAGCGATGTGTCTAATGGGCTTTTATCTGTGGAAACCAAATCCAGACAGAGCGTTGGAGAGACAGAGAGAGAGGAAATGGAGCACCCCCCCCCCCCCCACCCCACAAACAAACGCACACTCACGGACACACATGCAGGCACAAAAGTCCTATCCTGAGGCAGCTGACACTGTGGTTGGTCTGGTCCATGATCTGGTTGTAAATTCACCAGTGGCTATCGCTGAGAGCTGTCCCTGTAACAGAGGCCAAGAACGAATGCCAGGTGCTCTTAGGAGACAGGACAGAGTTTTGTTTACACTAACAGACCACCTTTAACTATATGACACGAGCTACAAACACTAAATGAGAAAACAATAGCACTGCTCCCACTAATATTGCTAATCTAATGATCAATAAGCAGTAGTTTCAGAGGATTAAGGTAAAAATACCAATAAATTTGTCTAAATATATATATGCCTGTTCTAAGGAAATGCTGAAAATGTGTTGTTTAATGTACAAATTCCTTTTCCTGTTATTGCATTGTTATGTTGGTTTGTCATATGATGTCATAGACTGAAGATGGGTTTTTCAAATTTGATTTAGCTTTTACCTTCATAGACACTTCTGAGTTGAAAAAGGAAATCTGATCTAAAAGACAACGTTTTCCTCTTTTATAGTAACTGTATTTTTTGTTTTTCTTCTTTTAGCACTGGGGAAGACAGACCAGGATGGTAACACATTGTTGGTAACCAGACCCAGTTTGACAAAGGCCGCTGTAACCTCACTCTCTTCTCCCTGACACTCACTAACTTTCCTCAGCCATGTCTAACTTAAACAGTGCACTTTGCATTGAAAATGGACCGACTGCAGATGTGTCACTCTTACAAAAGGATAATCTTCAAGATGGTGGATTAAGCCAGCTGTTGGATTATAACGCAGAAATGGAAAGGTACAGGTCTTTTGCAAACTTTTATAAAACCAATGGGGCATTTCCACAGACTGCTAAAATTGCCCGTATCACGACGCCCATTTTTCCTAGTGCCAGAATTGGTATGTCCCCTTGGAACTGTGATAACGCCATGCTCTGGGGAAGGAAATCAGCGGCAATAAACCCTAATAGGACCAGCATGCATAGAAATGACTCCCAGAGGCCGGGGAAGCCTGGCGTGCCGCCAGAGACGCTGCAAATGGCAAATAATAATTTCCTCTCTACCTTATCCCCCGAACACTGCAGACCTTTAGCAGGAGAATGCATGAACAAGCTGAAATGCGGCGCTGCTGAAGCAGAGATAATGAATCTCCCAGAACGCGTTGGAACTTTTTCCGCTATTCCGGCTTTAGGGGGCATCTCATTACCTCCCGGGGTCATCGTCATGACAGCCCTTCACTCCCCCGCAGCCTCAGCAGCCGTTACAGACAGTGCGTTTCAAATTGCCAATCTGGCAGACTGCCCACAGAATAATTCCTCAGCATCCAGTGGAAACCCAGCAAAGAAGAAAAGAAAAAGGTGCGGGGTGTGTGCACCCTGCAGGCGACTAATCAACTGTGGTGTCTGCAGCAGTTGTCGGAACCGCAAAACGGGCCACCAGATCTGCAAATTTAGGAAATGCGAGGAGCTGAAGAAGAAGCCGGGCTCATCGCTGGAGGTGAGAACAGGGCTCTGCTTCCCCTTCTTTTGTTATTATCCCCTTGCACTCCGAAGCATTAACCTTTTCATCCAGTCACGTTCTAAGCCCTTGAAAATTGTTTCCATGCCCACCCATGCCTGAACATCCCCCCGGTTTCTCAAATCTGCCTACCCGCCTAGCCTAATTGGCAGTAATTAGGGGTGTTTGTGCGGAGCGCAAGCTGAGCTTGGCTCAGACACCCCTAATTGCTGCCAGTCAGGCTGGGGCTGGAACGCATCCGAACAACCCTGAGCTTGGCTCTGCTCCAAGCAGGGCTGGGAAATGGTTTTCAGCAGAGAGCCATCTCTCTCTGCACCCGGTCATTTTAACCAATTATGGAAACCGTCTCTGGATGGGGAGAATCAATATCCCACAAAGCCTCAGCCTCCGACCGCCAAGAGATGGTGAGAGTGATGGCAGAGCTGCTGATGGCATTTCTCAAAATACCCCCAAGTTTTGTGTGAAGAGGGCAGTTAAGCACACAGACTGATCCCTTCCCACAGATTGTGTATGAATAAAGGCATTGCACATTATGTTTTAGTCAGGCTGGAACATGATGCAAATCAAGATGGGAAAAAAGGACAAAGGAAGGCTGCATCTCATTGTAAACAGAAAAGCATTCACCACTGGGTCAGGTTACAAACACAAAGCTTTAAAAACATTAAATCAAGGGGCAGACCTGTTTTGAAAGGTTCATTTGAATTGATTTCTTTTTAACCAGTTGACATTTGGTCATCGAAGTAAAGGCCAAATATGAATGTTAAGCTGTACATACTGTGATCTCCACCATGAGACTACTATTCTCTGGTTCACTGGCAAACAGGAGCCGGAACAGGTTTGTTTTCAGCAAATGCAACCTGAGGCCCAGATAATTTACTCATTAATTAAGTGATTACACAGAGAGAAAGGCTGCGTTCATTATGAAGTATTACATCATCTGCTTCTGGAAAAACCCAAATTCAACATTTCAGTTTGTTTGATTCTTGTCTGAACGTCCTATTTATTCAGAAATATTACACATAGGTTGTACTGTTTAAAACTATACTTAACCACTCCAAATCCCTTTAACAAAAAAAACATAAAACAAGCCAGTTTGAAATTATTTGCCCCTTATAGCTAAAGCAGATGTGTTTATGTCCATGTATCTTTAGTTTCAAAACTTCAATGGGATTTGGTGTGAGTAATGTCATTTATGTCCCTTTTTATATAGTAATGCAACATGGAGGCTGTTAATTATGTATGACCTGCGTTCATTAGAGTCTGAGGAAACATCAAGGGCCCCTTGCACTTTGAAATCAAACACAATTTTTATTAAGGTTAGCCATTTAAACGTTTATTGTGTGATTTTGTTAGAATTGCCTGTTTATGCTTGTAATTCCTATAAATTTCGCTCTGCTTATGATTGCGTTCTTAAAATGGACAGTTCCAAACTTAGAAAAAAATGAACTCTTCACATCAACCTTCAAGGATTTAGTTTTTCTTGTGATGCGGGTATCTTTTTCAAATAAAATCATTTTTAGGACAGACATTTCAAACAAAAAGAATTTGAAAACAAGCATGGAAACTTAACATATTTGCTGTTCCCATCATCATCAAAATGCTCTGGGATTTAAAATGTCCTTAACAGTATGGACTGGTCTTGTTATCTAAACACAATTAGCTTAAACTGAGTTTTGGAACAAATTATATACTGTGATGAGGTTGAGGGAAAAGCTGCTGTTTTAAAAGGGTATATATAATCAACTATATAGGGGTTATTTGTTTTGGACTGGAGACCTTGCTTTGCTTTGGACGTAACCAATAATTTTCCCAAGTAAGTGTCCAGGAAACTGGACTTCTGTTTACAATCCCTTTCTACTCTTTTGAAAACATCCATTTGCAAAGAAGGTTGAATTAAACGAGCACCTTCCCACTACCCAGACAAATCTACACATACTTTAAAAAAGTTTCATCTCTGACTTCAGTCAGTCATTCTATGAATGTCTCTTACAAAGATTTCAATTTTTTGACCATTTTCATGACTGCGCATCTTTATGGATGAATCTTTGTGTCCTTATGCTTTAAAAGCCTCCTCTCGGTGTGAAGTTGTATTAGCTTTGAAAGTACTTGTTTATGTATGTTAACAGGCAGATAATGATTCTAAGTCTCTGTCAATATCTAAATTGTCTTTTTTTCATTTTGTTGATGCTACTAATTGTCATTTAATCAGTGGGATTTAATTGAGAAGATCCAGGGGCTGCAGTCAGTCTAGAGTTAAAATTTACAGCATAGACAGTGTCATATGTAAGCAATATTGCAGATAGACTCCAACCCACAAAGACGGGCGAAAACACACAGTCACAAACAAGGGCGCACGCTAAACGAGAGCTGAGCGTAGCGTACCTTTCGCCCTGCAGCCGACGATAAGCCACTGGCAGCCAGTTGGATTTGGCTGTCAGTGTTTTCCACATGGGAATCACCCTGAACTAATTATATCTTAAGCAGCGGTGGAAAATGCAAATCAGAATTTTACTCACACCCCTGAAATCGGAGAGCCACTTTAATCTAATACCCCCTTTAATTTAGCACGCTAATGCAAGGCCCCAGAGAATTGCCCCGTGTCACCGCTGTGCTGTTGTGCAGCAGATTCGGCTCTGTCGCTGGGCTGCTCTCAGGCTCCAGGATGGATTAGTCTGCCAGAGGAATCTCATCTAACCTAACATTTCCTAAGCAGTTACCTCTGCGGCGCTTGAGTTCAGATGGCTCCAAGGTCCTCCATTAACATTCAAATGCAATACTTGAGTAAGACTAAAGGTGCGTCTTCTCTTTTGTTTGTCTCGTCTGGTTACAACTAATGAACGTTTATATAAGCAAAGAGGTTCACATAAAGAAATGATAAAAAACTAGAAATATGGACAGTAAAGATATCTTGATCTTGACATCTTGTGCTGTTCAGTTATGTATGGAATCACCAATGACCGTGAAATGGTACCATATACGGAATAAGCGGTGTGGACAATTAATGAATTAATGAACTGATAAGCTGTTAGGACCTATATCATTTTCTAAAATGTTCTCAGAGGACTTTCCTCCTCCCTTAACCAAACCAGTCGGTCAAGTAGATGAATTGTACATTACGTCCAAAGAAGTGCATCTTCTAAGGTTACAACAGAAACTGCATGGAGGGATATTATGGTAACATCCACATTATAGATTAATGTTTTTTTTACCCTTGTAGTGATGGTTTTCCAACTTAACATTGATAGTTTTTTTTTTACAATCCTCACCAAAGTGCCTTTATGTCAGCCTGGAGGGGTTAAAAGTATTGTGTTGTTTATGAAACGCGTGTTAGTCTTGATATTACATATCCCATAATCTCATGGTGGTATTGACAGTAGTCAGCAGCTCTATACACGCCTTTTCCTGTGTTTTTGTGTTGTGTCTTTTGAATGAAACCTTTGAGAATGACGTCATCTGTGATGTGGAAAGGCTGGAATGAGTTGTGTTTCCCTCCTGCCGCTTATGGATTCCATACAGGACACATGTGAGCCGTACTGAAGGTTATGAACCTTACATTTAATTTATCTTGGTTTCTCATCCACTCTTGTTCCCTTACCTGGAAACCTTGGCTATTATAGTGCTGAGCACCCAGATTGTGGCTCAGTGTTTGTGTTTCGGTTGTTTTAACTAAATTCAGTTTTACAAGAAAAGTTATCTCTGTGAATCATTTTGCCTTCAAGCCATAATCAGTTTGATTATGCTTAAATTGCTTAAATGAGTACAATTCTATTACTCATAGTTTGGCTCTTGAAAATGACCATATGGCTTGATAAATTTAAAAAACACCTTTTTATTTCACATTTGACTGACTTAGCAGTCAAATTCTTCCTTTCCTCTGTGTATCAGATATTCTCATTTCAACAAAAACTATGTTTTGAGACTACTGACTGCTCTGACCAATCCTACGGAACGGCATCAACAATTGTTTCTCAGGTTATTGAGTATATTGATAGGACCAGTTTGACTTGAACAGCGCGTGTGCCTTTACAGTCTGAAAACTGGAAAGTCAAAGAAAAATACTTGAAATAACAACACCCACGGAGGCTTCTTTTTGCATAAGAGCATACGTTTATATAAGAAGCATGAAAAGGGCAAAGAAAACTCAAGCTGAACAGACTCATCTTTCAATTAACAAATGTCAAAGGGCTTCGTCAAGTCATGTGTAGGAAATCAGAAGCCCAGCCTTTGGGTGGGGGAGTATTTTTTCCCTCCGTGTCTCTCTGGTCTTTGTGCAGTAATGATATGACTTCATGAAATGGTTGAGATGAAAGGTGGCGTGGCTGTCGAGAAACCTTTGCTAGAGTGATAACAGTCGATGCCCAAAACGAAGAAAAAGAAGCGGGACCTTCAGGAAAATAGGCTAGACTCAGTCCCCCTAATGAGAGTGGGGGAGCCAAATAAGCAGCCGCAGCCAGGTCTAATTTGTTTTAGGTGTGCTCAGAATAGATAAGGACAAATCTGTGGCCTTCACCCCCTCCCCCAACCTTTGCCTCCCTTGAGATAACACTGAGTGCTCCCAGTCAATCTCAACGGGGTGAGGAGAGAGGGGGTGTGGGATAAATACAATTTTAAAAAAGGGAAATCGGTGGGACACGCCGCCTTTAGATCTGGAGATCTCTAACTTGCTGGATTTATTCAATCTTAAAAATTGCAGATTAATTTGATCGCAGAGAGGGGGAGGAGGAAGTTAAATGAGGGTGTGCTTTCCTGCTCATCTCAACCTAAAGGGCAACAGTAAGCCCCTGTCAAGACAATGGGATTTCGCCATCTGAGCCACAATGCAGGCCGCTTAATTATACACATCGTCCCTGCGAGCTACCCTCGGTTTCTTAAGAGCCTTGCCCCTCTTAGTCACTGTCATGGCCTTTTTCCCCTAGACTGGTTGTGCCATGTGGATTTTCTGTCAGCTTCCATTTGCTCTGAGTGGCTGTCCTCCTTAGGTCGGCGCTGCGCTCAGGAAGGCACAGCTGCACGCCACTGTTAAAGAATTCATTGTCTTTGCCACCGCCGCCACCAATTATGGCCAAAGCGTAATTGGAGGCATCTGGACGCTGCCCCTTACATTATGTGGTCCGCCGCCTCCTTTGCCCCGGTTTGATTTAACATCGGAGGTTCAGCGGGAAAAAGAGCGCTCGTTGCCATTGTCTTCATCGTTGTGAAAGGAGGAGTGCAGAGAAAGAGGAGGACGGGGGTAGAAAGCAGCCCTGTGGAAGGTGGACAACGTGAAAGAGCAGGTGCGGCAGGACGTTAATGTGTGGCACTTTAAATTTTAAACAGATGAGAATGAATTATTGATGCTGACTCAGGCTGGGAAGTTAAAAGGTATCTTGTCATTACCGAGAGCCGGTATGAAAAAGTGTGAGAGAAAAGTCTCTGATAATTGCATCAGGGGATCACTTTGAGAACAGAGTATTGCAACAAGGTGTTAATACAGTATGACAGTGAATTCTTCTCTTGCATTGCTTTTTGCTCTCATTTGCCCCCTATTCACCAACTATAGCCATTAGAAAATGACCAATTTGGTTGAGATAACCAGAAATTAGCTACAACTCATTGCATACGTGTATTATCACCATTAGGCTACATGCATATGTATCGTATCAGCTTTTTTCAGTGAACATGAACATGAACATGAACATGGTGTAGCCCTTTCATTATTTCTATAGGTTACGTTTTAGTGTTCTACCAGAGAGCTAAGTGCTTTACTTCAACTGGGGTAACAGGACCCTTCTTTGTGGCGTTTGCATGTTTTCTCTTGTTCTATGTGGGTTCTCTCCAGGTACTCCGGCTTGCTCCCACTGTCCAAAAACCTGCATGTTAGGTTGATTGAACACTTTGAATTGCATATGGAGTGAAATTGGTTGTTTGTCTCTGTGTGACCCTGTCATGGACTGGTGACCGGTCCAGGGTGTACCCCGTCTGTTGTCAGCTGGGATAGGCTCCAGTCCCCCCTACAACCCTGTTGGGAATAGGTGACATAGAAAATGGATTGATACAGCAATCTTTTAAAATCTGTAAAAGTAAAAAAAAACAAAAAAGGTAAAAGTGGAATAATAAGACTACTACCACTACTACTACTAACACTACTATTACTACTACTACTACTACTAAAAATAAAGAATACATTTTTATGAGCTTCCGAAAAATTTTAAAGATAAACCTCGCTGCTTGGAAAAGGACATTTAAAACTGTCAAACTAGTGGGTTATTCAGATATGGAACAATCACACAAGGAAACAGGTAGCAAACTAAGGGAAGAAAGCAAACATTACAATATAGCAAAAATATGCCAACATCCAAATTTAAACAACAGATCTATTAAACTTAATAACATCTCAAAAGTCAAAATACAAAGTCCAGATAAACGAAGTAAACAAAGTTATAAAAAAGAAAGAGAAGCCATGACTTAAGGGACCCCTGTCAAAAAGAAAACTTAGAACTACTAAACTCTGCTTTAAATGACGGGTTGTCATTTTCTAAGTGAAATGTTTTGACAGGACAGTTTGTGGACCATTTTTTTTCTTATCTATTCCAGAAATCCTTCCACAAGTGCATCCAGCAGAACTTTGGCGCCTCTGGGGCTCTGTCCTTTTGGTCCAGTGCACCGCTACTATTGTTACAGATAATTTGCCTGTCAGGAAATAACCTTCAAAACATACTCTTCCGTTTGTGTTTATACCTTATAGCAGGAGTCATTACATAGCCTATACAGACAGCGGAACTAAATAGAATAGAATAAAGTATAGCCGTACAATACGTCTTGTGTGAGATGGACAAACACATTTTGTGTGTACTCACACTACTTAAATGTACTTCAGTGTAGTTTTAGGTTTTATTTTGTAATTCACATCACAACTTAGAAAAACACTGCATTTTGAAAAATCTTTAAAGATTTTTTCAATTTAATGAAGACAGCAGTTTATTTAAGAAAGCTGAAACCTTTTTGTGTCTAATTTGTCCAAATGCTTTTGGCAGCTCCATGCCAATAGAAAACAGACAGTAGTGTGTATCTATTGGTCAACCTTAATGGGCACAAGCCCTGGTTGTTAGATAATCATAAGACATAACAAACCCCACATCATCATAATGCATTTATAATTCATTTAAGTCCTAAATTTAAACATTTTCTAATGAAAGCTTTTTAGAAAATGAGGGAATTTGGAAATTAGGCAGGATCGTTGCCAAGGACTGTGGAAGAAATTGTATAGGATGGGTTTCAAGCTAACAATGACTTTTGAAGCTCCATGGGTTACTACATCAACCCCTTTACTTTCTTTTCTAGTATTTTTTGTCCCCCAAAAAACTAGTGAGTTGACATCAGGACATAATGAAATAGAAGCATTTAAGCTATGACGAACTAAATTATGAAAATTAGGATATTTCCCTATGTTTTGCCTCGAAAACTAAAGTTGTGCAGCTATTTGAAGTTCTGCAGTTATATTTCCATTATGACACATTCCTCTTTCCACTGTTGATAATGAAGCAGAAACCTTGCAACACAAATTGCTCTGATGTGGTACAGAAAGTTCTTCATAGAAGAACTACTGAGACGACAAAAAACGGTCACCTGCTGTCTGATCCATTCAGAAGAAAGCATTGCACTTAACCCATGAGAACAAACAAAAAAACAAAAACAAGTACGGTACACTAACCTCAGGTAGACCAGGTGCATACCCAACAATTTCAGTTTGGATTGTAGTTTTAGAAAATGTGTTACGTGGCTCACTTATTTTAAAATTGTATTAATATTTGGGTGTAAAGTCGTGTCTCTCCGAATATCCTATGTAAAAGATTCATTTTTGGCCCGTTGTTTTTAGCCAGGCTTGATAGACGCAAAGAGGTTCTCAACTATAAGTTGAAAAGCAGCAAATGGCAGTTGGCTTCATGTTGTTAATCCAAGAAACAGTTATGTGAAAGTTTACTGATGAATTACAACTTGAGATGGTCAACGTGGTTGAGACACCTCACTTTCTACAAGTCAAATGCTTGCGTGCTGCCACCCCCACTATTGTGGCTCAGCTTTCAGATATATGAATATTTCATGGCAAGCATCTGACACCATGCCCAGAAAGATATTTCCAGTTTTTTTTTCTTCTTCCTCTCAGGGTTAGAGAGTGTCACAGAGGTGTTAAGTCAGCCCGTGGTCTTCTGGCAAAGAAGGAGATTCATAAATTCAGCAGGTGCTGACATCAGGTGTTTTCTTTTTTTTTACCCCTCTGCCCTCCTTTTAACTGGTGTACCAATAAGCTTTTTGCAGTTTTGTGTAAATTCTAATTAAACCTAAGATAAATGTGACACATTTCATCTTTTACTCAAATGACAAAAGAATGGTTGATCTGCTTGTCTTAGCCCCGCCTCAAATGCTACTTTAACATCTAATCTTAGACTCTTATTATATAGTGTTATTTTTTCATTGTTGTTTCTCTTCAACTAAAGCCTATTTCCTCCAGCTTTTACACAAATGACTTTCATTTCTTGTTTTACTATTTTAGAAATAGATCTCTCTGCAGAGGCTCTAAAACTTGCGCTTACGGTGTTATACATATTAGAGCTAAATTGAATAAAGACAGCTATTAGAAAGCTTTCTAAACATGCAGCCTTAGATTTTTTTTTGTCGCGTCTTATGACACCCTAAACTCAGATTAATTGGGGGGCTTCACAAGGAAAAGTGTGGTTAGAATGAATCAACTCCCAAACCTCTCTTGGGCTTCATGCAGACTTGCTCATTGAACATGTTGAATGGTCAATTTAACATCAATGAGAGGGGAGGTAAAGAAAGAGACTGAAATAGAAATAAATTGTCTGCGATGATAAATCAAATGTTTTGTGAGAAATGATGGCGCGTGCCCCACTAACAACAGCAGTCCATGTCCAGTTCAGTGAAAGAAGGCTGTTTTCTGTTGTGTCAAATTGAGAACCTCAAGTAAAACTTCCAGTTAAGTTCAAAAGTGCTGGAACTACAGTCTTATCTTTTGGTCGGTGTAAGATTACGAGCTTTAAGAAGCTACTAGTGCCATAAAATCTCTGTTATCGATATATGTGAGTCATATTCAGTCAATTGTAGTCAATTTGTGGTAGATAAGAATGATGTGACCCGTTCAGCTGTCAGCAGATTGAGTAACAAAGATGTTGCCCATTCAGTCAAAATGTTAGTCATTAGCATTTTTTTTTTAATCATTAGCATTTTGCAAGAGCAAACATCTTTTGTTAGGCCCAGTAACATTTTCAAATGCATCACTTGTTACTGTGTGGGAGGAGTGACAAAACTTTTTTATATCTCAAGCCAATTATATTGAATTTTTAAAACCATTGGTCCACTCAAACCCTCACTAATTTATCTATTTATTTATTTATTTATTTTTATATCACCGACTGCTCAATTAGAATAAAGTTCTATTTTAGAGCTTCTGTCCTAAATGTAATTTTAACATTATGGGAACCTCTGCTTTATCCTCTACTCACTTGACATCTTGTCCAGCCTTGTGAGAATGGCAAATATCACATATGCACCATGGTTGTCTACTTCGCTGACATGGGGTTGTCTAAACAAACGATCATCTAACATTAAAGACCTGTCAGGCTTATAAAGCTTTTGATGTTATGTGTAAAATGTTTGAAGGGGCAAGTTCTCAGTCATACACTGATTCAAGTCTTTTTTAGGAATATTTGTTCACAATTTATAAAGAGCCATGCTTATTTCCATCTGACCCAGCCTCAGAGAGGGAGACTTTCAGCTGGAGACGTGCCCTCCCAGCGTGATTTGTGAGTGACGTGGTGGGGTGGAACAGCTGTCTGGAGAGCTCCGGAAACAGCATGTCGCACTGTTTTCTTTACAACATGTTGAGAATAGTGGATGAGCCTCATTAACGTGTTGATATGAGTACTGCATGTATCCGTACATATCCACAGTAGAGGAAGCGGCAGATAGTAGAATCCCAACTGTACACACACACTCACTTCAATAGCAGAAGAAAATGCTCCTAAATGCATTTTTGACACAGTTCATGGAATTTTTCCCGTATGATACCTTTGAGGAACATCTCTAGCTCATTTTTAGGACACCAGAGCTCGTATGAATACTGTTGAGGACAAACGTATCTATGAAAAGTTTTCTTTTAAGACTACGCTGATTCAATCACCAGTT